AGATTGGATTTATACCCCGCCCTTCACTACCCAAAGGTGTCTCAGAGCGGCTCACAAACTCCTTTCCCTTCCCCTCCCCACAACAGACACCCTGTGAGCAGTGTTCCCTCTAAGCTGAGTTAGTGTGAGCTAGCTCACAGTTTTTTAGCCTCTGGCTCACACATTTTTGTCTTAGCTCAGGAAGGAGGGCTCCGGAACAAACTTAATTTATGCAGCAGCCAAATCGCTCACTCACAACTTTAATGCCAGTAGCTCACAAAGTAGAATTTTTGCTCACAAGACTCCACAGCTTAGAGGGATCATTGCCTGTGAGGTAGGTGGGGCTGAGAGAACTCTTGACAGAAACTGCTCTTTCTCAAGAACAGCTCTTATCAGAACTACGGCTTGCTCAAGGCCATCCAGCCAGGCGCAAGTGGAGGAGTGGGGAATCAAACCCGGTTCTCCCAGATTAGAGTCCGCGCACTTAACCACTGCACCAAACTGGAATAACCAACCCATGAAGGGCGAAACAACACTGTACATAATATGCAGATGCAACTCATAATATGCAGATACATATTTAACACCGTACATACTTTGGAGTCAGCCCCCCAGTCCTGTTGCTGCCACCACCCAGACTAGTTCTTGGGGCCTGAGGTTCTGGCTATGGGAGAGAGTTGGGGACGGACTGAGCAGTGCCCCAGGCCTACCTGCTGCTGCTGCTCAGAGACCAATCTGGGCTGAGGCCTGCAGTACCCCCCACTGAGGGCAAGAGCTCCTTGCGGGATGGGGGATGCAGATGTGCGGCCAGTCCAAAAGGGAGTCACACACCTGGTGCAACAGGATTCGCCCCTGGAATAACCAACCCATAGTTGCCCTGTAGGCACGATGCTCCACCCCAAGGTCATTGTGGGGGTGCAGAGCTACCCTCAAGTGAATTGGTTTATTCCCCCCCCCCCATTGCCAGGACAGACGACGGCATCACCTCCTCTCCTCACAGAAGCTGATGTGCTTCACAGGTGCATGGCAGCCAGGCATTCGACCGGTGTAGCTTTCATGTCAAAGCAGTTCTGCACAAAGTAAAGGGAAAGGACGTGGCAGCCTTAAACTCTGGGGAAACAAGTGAAGGACCTTCCCCTGCCTCACTGAAATATTTATTCATTCATTCATTCATTCATTCATTCATTCATTCATTCATTAATTCATTAATTCATTCATTCATTCATATTTGTATCCTGCCCATCCCGTCAGCGGGCTCAGGACGGGTCACATCATCTCAAATCAGGGGTCATTTCCTGCAGGAGCGCACAGGAGCGGAGCTCCGGCAGTAAAGAGCCCAGGGGGCGGGCACATGCAACAAGCCCCGCCCCCTGCTCCCAGCAGCCCTCAGTCAGAGCAAGAAGCAGCCAGGTAAGCTGCAGAGCCCCCTGGTCCAAAACAGTCCAATGGCACCTTTAAGACCAAGTCTTATTCAGGTACAAGCTCTCCCTCCTCTGCGAGGACAGATCTGCACGTTCCCGCCCCCCAATAGCTAGCAATCCAAAACAGTCCAGTGGAGCCTGA